CAAATTAAGGTTAAGTATATACTAGATAATTATCTACTCCTCTAGTATAGTAAGTTTCTAGCAATTAGCGTGTATGTCTAGTTAAAACGTGATATTGCAAAGGCAATTAGAGACCTGCTAATAAGGTACGTTCAACGCTCTAGCAGCGCTGTAGATACTGCGAAATTAGCTAGCATAGAAGGCCTAGATAGCAAGGATAACTCTGCCTTCTCTAGTAGTATTCTGAAGTTGTTGTTGTTAAGGCATGTTATGTTAGGGTAAAAGGTGGTTGTGCTAAGAGAAAGTGGCTAGTTCAGTGATATGGCCAGCTCGGTGATAATCTACGTTAATTATTAGAGTGTCTTTTAATTTAACTTTTTAGCTGCTTAAAGCTCTTCTTAATTAGATTGTAGTTAGGTAAGTATAGTAGAAGGTACTCTAGCTCCACCTTATACATTGCACAAAGCTCACAAACCTAAGTTAATTAATAAATAGAGGCGTTGTCTAGTATAATGACAGAGTACCTAGGTGTTGTATATAGCAACACAGAGCGTTTAAGGAAGTCCTCTATAATCTCTAAGGTAATTAAGCTTTGAAAAATAGTGTAACGTAATCGGCCATTGAGTCGGCCAGGCAATTGAGCCGGCCACCTTATGCAGCCACCCACCTTGACACGCAGATAACTCAACACCACAACGTCGTGCTGTGGCTCACAGTACGTCAAATTAATCCACTCTGTCTACAGTATCTTGCTTACATGTGCGCTTATTGTGCCCAGCCTAACCACACCTCCTACAGCGTTGAGAACCCTCTCTACTACCACCTGTTCGCACCCTCTCCTCACGCCTCTCTACCTCTGCCTGCACCACCACCTCTCATGCAGCTATTATTTCCTCTGCCTCTTACTGTGATAGGGTTCCTCTATACTAGATCTGCTTCCTTTTACGTGCTTTACACTTAGAAGTAGCTTTATTTGCTACTTAAAGCTTAACTATCTTAGCTACTATAAGCACCTAGGAATGCACCATTATATCAGCTCCCTTTTTAAACTGCTGCACTATCTTAATAATTAAAGCTAGAGATAAACTGTGGTGCCACCTAATCTAGTTAGATATTAGCGTTAATTAAGCTAATATTTCAGCAGCGTTGCTTAGTGTTCTAGGTTGCTAGGTAGTAGGCCCTAGTAAAGGTAGTGTTAGCGTACAAGGCTTTACTTCAAGCTTTAATAGCACTACCTCTAGGTTGTCTAGAACTAAGCCTGTTGCTTAGAAGCTTAATTAGATATTATTAGATAAAAACACCTTATTAAACACCTAACGTAGATTATCACTGAGCTGGCCATATCACTGAACTGGCCACTTTCTCTTAGCACGACCACCTTTTACCCTAACACAATATGCCTTAACAACAACAACTTTAGAATACTACTAGAGAAGGCAGAGTTATCCTTACTATCTAGGCCTTCTACGCTAGCCAATTTCGCAGTATCCACAGCGCTGCTAGAGCGTTAAACATACCTTATTAGCAGGTCTCTAATTACCTTTGCAATATCACGTTTTAACTAGACATACACGCTAATTGCTAGAAACTTACTATACTAGAGGAGCAGACAATTGTCTAGTATATACTTAACCTTAATTTGCAAGGATTTGCGCCCTAGCTATGTAAGGTGGCAGATATAGCTAATAAGATACTTAGTGTGCGTAGTGAAGAGCCTGTTAGCAAACTATAGGCTAGCAGGCTTGTGACACGTTTAGACAAGCTTAAAATAGCCTTTAATTAAGCTAAGGATAGACAGAGGATACTACAGGAAGATCCTAAGATAATTAGCATGTAGTTTAAGCTAGTAGAGGATACTTAAGTTAAGTATAGCGTTTGTAACAATAACGTGCACAACTTTAATAAAACTAGGTTCTAGATAGGTGTTGCTTTGTCTTTAAAGGTTGTAACAGGCTTAGAGAGACGTGCTTGGCCAGAGCTTGTTCAGCCAGGTGATCGCGAGTAGGTTACCGTTATCTAGAGCATCTGCGCCGCTAGGTATGCAACCCCACCTTTCATTATCTACAAAGGACGCGTCCACATCTCTGCCTAGTATAAGGAGACAGATATACCCTACAATTAGAAGCTCTTAGTCTCTAAGAACAGTTAGACAAATAACATACTTAGCCTTAAGTAGTTAAAGCACTTTAACACGCATACAAAGACACGTTAGGTAGGAGTGTACAGGTTGCTTATCTTAGACAGCTATAAGAGCTATCTTAACTAGGAGTTTAAGGACTATTACCTAGAGAACTAAATCCTTACTCTCTATATACTACCTTACTTGTTATATATCCTCTAGCTACTTAATATAGTCTATTTCTTGCTATTAAAGCGCAAGTACTCCTAACATATTTAAGACTTAGTATACTAACATATCTTCTATATTAATAAGGAAGGCTTCCTACTAGCCTTTAGGGATATATTTCTTAATTTATTTATAAAGGTTAACTACTAAAAGGCCTTTAAGGCATTAGGGCTTGTTCCTACTAACACACAGGTAGTGTTAGATTGCCTTAAAGTGCAGCTGCATACCCTACTAGTAGTACCTCTACCTAAAACGCTGTAGCAATCTAAGACGCTAAGCAATACACATAAGTTTAGGTCTTAATCTAAGCTTATAAGCAACTCCTTCTAATAATTACTAAGTGCAGCGCAAGAGGGGTTCTTAAAGCTTGTAAAAGGGGCTAAAGAGATGCTGCACAAAAACGTCCTTATTAAGGCCCACATGCGAGAGCTTGAAGAGCAATTAGCAGTAATAACTAAGAGAAAATCGCGTAAGAGAAAGCAGATTCAGCATAGTGGCACACTTGAGTATGGCCCAGCAGCATCGCAGGTAGCTGCTGAGGCGTGTGTAGCAGCTCAGCCATCTAAGAAGACTTAGGGTAGAGGTAGTTAACTAGGAGCTCAGTTAACTGTTCAGCGCTGTAGGAACTGCAGCAAAACTAGACATAACGCACAAACGTGCTAGGAGGGTATAGAAACATCTTCTAAATCTAATGTAAGCACGTAGTATGCTAGGTCACTATTTAATAGCAAGTAGTTGTAGTTGCAGTAACTTGTCTTAGTTGTGCTAAGAGAAAGTGGCTAGTTTGGTGATATGGCTGGCTCGGTGATAATCTACGTTAATTAAAGGCAGCTAAGAATACTTTCTTGTTAATGTAAGTAACATAGCTATTTGCTAAGACATTAATTTCTGTCTTATATGCTTGTTTTAATAGGGCAAAACAGCCCACATCAAGTGGCTGTAGAATATGGGAGGTGTGAGGAGGCATACAGAGAGTAATAATTTTGTTCTCCTCACACAGATCCTGGAAGGCAAGCGACTTGTGGCTCTCATGGCCATCAATAATTAGCAGCCGGTGGCTACCCACTGTCCAGGCTGTTGTATGCTGGATGAAGTGCTTCAGCCACTCTAGGCCCAGTTCATTTATTGTCCAGCCATTCTTGCTAACACCAATACGCCAATCCTTTAGGTTGTAATACTAGGCTTAGTTATAGTTCTTCACTTTAAAGATAATAAAGGGCAGGATAACCTACCCTATAGCATTAATTACAGCAATCAACGTCGCCCATTCACAGTTGCTAGGCTAGACTCTAAGTAGCTTAAGACGCCTCTTAGACGCTGTTACTACCTTAACAGACCCTCTAACACCTATCTAGAAGCTAGTCTTGTTAAAGTTGTAGGTATCTTAGTCCTAGATGCCATATTTAGCTTTGACGTTGCGCACAAGGTTGAAC